ATGACTTACCACAGCCGTGCTTCACATGGGTAAAGTTCTCCCGTCGAGGACCTACCAGTACACACCGGAGTGGAGTGACGAACCACCGGCAACCGACAAGGGTGTGCTTTGGGCGTGCTCCTGCGAAATTTTAGTTTGCAACCAACAATTTATTCTGATATTTTTGCCCAATAAATAGCCACAATCCCAAAAGTCGCTGTAAACGACCTCAAGAAGGTCGTCCAGAGCGGTTTTTGCAAAAGTCGATGGAAACGATTTTGATTGGCTACTTTTCCAAAAACCGCTGACACAAAAGTCGATCTGAACACGCCCTAAGTAATTCATCGCTAGCGGTGTCTCAAGAGCTTAAACCATGTCTGGACGACTTGCGAGTCGTCGTCGACACGGGTTTGACTGGATCACTCAAATACTGTATGGTTCCTGTTGCCTTTCATGTGAATTCATTTCCCACCGCTAACAGGCTACCGACGGAATAACGTCTATGCAATATGTGTGGCGACGCCAAGTGGCAGCTGCGACCGCTGTCTTTGCCTTGCGCCGACCACCCAAGGTCAAAACACTCGACTTGCCGACGCCACACATGGAGCAAACAACAGCAGGTTCCACTACAGGGAATAATAGCAAGTCCATGTGGACTTTATCGCAAAGTACGAGACATTCATCACACGACCTTGGATGAAGCTTATGAGCTACCACAGCTATAACGTTACATTGAGATGACACGTAATTCGTCTCAATGTATCGCAGCGAGTTAGGCATTGCCGACGTACAGAGGGAGTGGGCCCATTGAGGGTGACGTGCCTTGCCTTGCCTTCCTTTCATCTACCGTACTGCGAGTGGTATGTATACCGCCGGTACATGTGTATCTTCGAGCATGATTATTATACTCGGCATATGTCAAAATCGACACCATCGTGTTTTGTCACTTGTCGCTGATTCCATCTCGTGACGCCGGTCACGCGCGTTTTGAAAAGTACAGTACCCATGCCGAATGATGCACGATAGTTGTACTGTACTCAGAACACTACTTCGTGATTGCAATGAGCTACTATTAATAGTACTACTACTAACTATACTAACTACTATTAGTATTACTATGTCCTACTGAAGTAGCTACTACTTAGTATTACTACGTACTATGTACTATTAGTAGTATGTCATATTGGGTTGTGAGTGATAAACCTCCGCATGACCGTAATGGGCAAAAGCTCCAGCATAATAGAAACAAGATGTTTCATATGCCGGAAATGCTATATACTCCACGTGATCAGTCACACTAGCGGTCGATCGAATGTCACACACCCTCATACATGGTGGAGAATATGCTCTAGTGGCACTCACACCGTCAGAGACCGTATTCCTTTCAACTTACACAAATGTTCTATTTGGCAACGAATATACGTTTGGATTTGAACGAAATCGCACAAAGTCCTGTTAGTTATGAACCGTTCACCGACACAACATAGCTACTGTTTTGAACTCCCACGCGCAGAATGACTTCCAGCCATCCAATCATATGTCTTAATTTTAACTTAAATGGCCAATTTAGGGTGTACGAACCAATTGATGGTGCTCCTACAGATTGCAGTTCTAATGATACTCCCAAATGACAATTTAGGGTGACGAATTGATTCAGAACCCAGGACTTCACACCCTTGAATCTGATCAATGCAATTTGACAGCCGTTTTTACAATCGTTGCATGCTACGGTATTATTTACAGACGTTCCCATGCTGTACTGTACAGTATGTTCAGCATTGCGTTTGTATGTTATTTCAATTGTATTTATTCGGGTCCGATATATACGAATGCAGAGGAATCAACGTGCATAACGAGTCTGATGGCACCCAAGACCCAGCACCGAACCTTCAACGCGGACAGGACGTCGATGCCTACTGTGTGGCCGCTGCGCAGCAGCAGCGTCGTCGTGGCGACTGCGTGACCGAGTAGCGGGATGGAAAACGATCTTCACTCTGTCGCGCTACATCGACACCAACGATGTGGAATAACTAAGCTGCAAAGCAGTATCGTCATGCAGGACCAAACCAATCCATCCCAGCACCCGCATCATCCGGGCGCGTCCCACGACCCGCCAACGCCGCTGCGGCCACACCAGCCACCGAGACATCCACCTACGAAGGTACATCGAAACTGTGTGAGGCCTTGTGCCTGTTGTTCGACGATGTCGCGGCGTTTGTTGTGTTCTTCGTGTTGGCAATGTGGACCCAATGCATCGCAGGTACTGCACTCATCAGTCGAAACAGAAGCTCATCTTCTTACTTCTAGTCATGTAATCCTTGGAGCTGCCTTCATCATTGCCCTCGACCGTCGCTTCCGTGGGATCGTCGCGGCCGAGGACATGGCGAGCAAAATATCACTTGTGAGTATCGCATTCGTGTGTGCGATGACGTCTGTCGCCGTCTCCACGTTCAACGGCGACGCGACGCCCCTCCAGGACCCCACCGTCCTCCGTGGCTATGTCTGGGCCGTCATGGTCAAAGGTACTTATTGATGCTCTCATGCGTGGTTTGCTTGATGGCTGTCTGCGTCCTGGGAGCTTCTCTATCTAACCGTGTTGATCATTCGTGTCTAGACCTCGTGCTACGTCTTGCCAGTCTCGGCACCAAGGCCTTGGTTGGGCTTGTCCTAGTGAATGACACAGCGTCGACACACCGACGACAACAGCGAATGTATGCAGTCATCGAGGCGGTAGCGCACTTGGTCCGGTCGTACGCCGCCAGCTTTTCGTGGTGGACCTCCTTCTACGAGTATGTATGGACGTTGCTGCGCGCAATTGGGCGTCAAGGTACACACAACCCCAGCGATACATGTTTGGCCTTGTTTTTTACATTCGTGTTAGAACTACCCGTACTTTAACATTGAGTGCGATGTCGAGTCGACGGTGCACGTTCTCGTGACCAACCGACTCGAGTTCGGATCGCATGTGAGTCCCAGCGATGTCGGCAACGCCGAATGCTGCATCTGCTGCGCAGTCGCCCGTGTAACTGGCGTGCAGCCACATGAGATGCCACGGATGCGTGGCCCAGAGGTATCGTCAAGAACGGTCGTGTCCGATCTGTGACGTACAACGCAATGCCATGAATATATCCTTCCAAAGTACTCGGATGGCGGCACCAACTGGTTTCCGCAATTTTTATAAATTTTCTTACTGTAGTATTGTCGATTTGATACAAATTTGGGGAGGGAGGGGGTGCAATCTCGAGTGAAATTTCGTGTTGTGGCGTGGTATCTCATTGGAATTTAAATCGATTTGATTGGCTACCTCAGATGAGCTCAAAAAATTTATTAGCCAATCTAAACCTTCTCAATGAAATTCAACCAATCAGATCGATTGTGGATCGGTTTGGTCGGCGCGATTCGAGCACAATATTCCATTGACAGTGCGAGTTTTGTTGTTGTCTCTTCATACTGTAGCACCACATGACTTTCGTCTCGGCTACTTGAAATTGTTTCTAACCATTTACAGCGCTAGGCTTTGTTGGAGCGCCACAACGTATCGCTGATTGATACTGTATTCATTGTACTAAGCTTAGTTCTGCTTCCACAAGTTCTTGTTGGTGTCTGTCATTTCAAACGGGTACAAGGCCGACCGTTGGTGCACTTCGACGCCTTCGCAGGTTGAAATTTGGATGCGCGCGCTCTTGAGCGTCTTCTCTAGCGTCTGGGTGCCGTCCATGTCGATGCCAGTGACCCCCAACCACCCAAACCCAGGCACGACCAGTTCAAGTACCGTCGTCCGCTTGGGTTTCTTCGGGTTGCTTGACCTAATAACCTCATTACTACCACGAATTCAGACCATGGGAATTAAGATTACCGAGTCATGACGTCTTGGCCGACATAGTCCTTCACAATCACTTGGTCGCGGTGCACGAGGGGACCGGTGAAGCTCAAGGCGTCGAGTCCACGGGGTGGGGACAGCAATCCACCCGCATGCTTCATGAACGTTTCTTCCGCATCTACTCGATGTGCTTTAGTTGAACAAGTTTAGTAGTTAGGTTGTAGGTAGGTAGTTCGTAATTGTTCGTACTCGCCGTCTTGCTCAAGTGGCCAGGGAGTACCCCATACCACGAAAACAAGAGCGAATTGGTGGCGGCTTTGCTTTCTTTGACCATGTCATTCTCATAATCCAAGCGAAGCATCGCGCCTAGAAACAAGCTGCGCCCGGGTGTCATCTTGAAAATCGTCAACTAACAAACAACGAACGATCCAGTGTTAGTTTGACCAATATGTACCATATACACGCCAAACCGGAAGCTTTTTGCCTGGCAAGATGCTGTTGAGCTCGTCCACGCTCGACTTGGATAGAAATTCAATCAGTTTTTGGCGTTTGCGATTCACAATCAGCCCTACATGGTACCGGTTACTTGACCAACTAGTTAATAGGTAAGCAGTACCTGGCGTGTCAAAGATATTGCACGATTCGTCTCCGAGGGTAATGGGGATGGGAGATACGGCTAGTGTCGTGCCCGGGAGCGACGACGTGGTCATAGTGTACACATCCGTCTTCTTCTTGGCCAACTGCTTGCGCTGCTTGAGGCTGATCAGGTCTCCTTCCGGGATGTCCTCTTCGGCAACGTCCGCGTCGGCCGTCGGCGCTTCCGGGACGACTTCACTCACATCCACGTCCTAGCGTTAACATGATGATGTGAATCATCGTTCGTTCGTAATACCTCGATGGAAGGAATCCCGCTCTTGATGGCTTTGCTGAGGAATCGCTTGTTCTTTGTCGAGTGCTTTAGAAGCGCGTTCAGGAACGTGCTTTTGCCCGCATTCGCAGCACCAATGACGCAAATGTCTCGACCTTGGCGATACCTCTACTCCATCGTTCGTTAGTTGGTCTTTGCATTCGTCTAATCGATCCATGTATATGAATACATATGCAGGGGTTGGTTACCTTGATATCGGACACGACTTCGGGGATCCCAGCACCCTTGACGGAGCTGATCAATCGGATGCCAATCACGTTTTCAATGCCAAAGTCCCTACGTGAGAATGCAAGTAAGAAAGCATCATAGATCCAAAGACGACACATACGCGGCAGCTTGCTTGATGCGCCGCAAGAGTCGGCGGGACCCCGACTTGACTGGAATGAGATCGCCCTTGTTCACCACGAGCATCACCGACTTGTTCCCGACCACATGGCGGGCACTGTAAAACACCAATGATGATTAGACTCAACTTATGACGCATCATCGAACGCATGGACGTACTTGCCCAAGAGACTTCCCGTGATGTCGAGGATGTCGACCAGTTGCACCACCAGCATGTCTCGTGGTTTCAGCGCCTTGACTCGCTTTTCGTACTCGTCGTACGGCATTCGAGAGTCGGTGACCTTGCCGTAGTTTCGGATTTGAAAGCATCGCTGGCAAATCAGCGATGTCGAGATCTCGCGCACGCTCTCGAGGCTCTCCAGGGCCTTCTCGGTGCAGTACCCGACTTTAGCGATGTCGTCGAACTGCAGCTCAATCCCACAACCATTGCACGTGAGTTGCTCCATCATAGCGATGTGTGCCTTGATGTCGTCGAGCTTTGGTGACGGCGGCGTCGTGGTGGAATACGTTCGACCACCCATGTCAGACTTTACCGCGCCAGACACAAGCGCAGCTCGCAGCGGTGCATGAGTCAGTCCTACATGTGAACGCGGCCTCACTGCGACCAAGGTCTTTGACAGCGCATTCAGCGACTTGGACAGGTTACGGAGCATGTTCAATCCTTCCTCACCAACACGAATGCGATTCGCTCGCTCTGTACCAAACCAATCATATTATTCACTTCAACATGGATAAATAATAAATAATCCATGCTTTATTTATAAATGAAAACTTGGAAACCCACATCAACTGCTATTATTATACGATGGACTTAAAGCTGCTGGCGATCTCAATACTTCTCCCTGCCCTAACTAAAGAGCGTCGTGTTCATCACCGCCGCTTGATGCATACACGATCGAGTTAAAATGCTCTCCGAGGGTGTAGTAATGCAAGTGGTACCTACACAACCAGAACCATTGTGTTTACATCGTGAAACTTCTAGAAGGTTTAACTTACGACAGACGCAACGGGGGTTGATCTTCACGGTGATATTCATCTCCCATGACAAGGACACTGGAGGAAGCAGAGTACACTTCAATCGGCACCGCCAACGCTTGCGCCAACGCTCGGAGCTCCACTTGTCCGCCCCAGTCTGCTGTTGCTTCCACTCGTGCGCAATAGCTTTCGAATTGGTCTGGAGTGCGTGTGTTTGATTTCAAGGATTTCATAAAGAAGCGTGTTGAATATATATATAATACCTTGAATGGCAATGTCAGAGGCATAATCGAGCTCGACAAACGGGACAAAGTCGTCGGCATGCGAACGCAGATACGCGGCTGTCTTTTGTCGAAGGGGTATGTACGCGTCCTAGTCATAAGTCAGCCTCCATGAGGAAATGAAATAAACGGTTTACCGACGAAGGGAAAGGCAGGCGACGAGTGAGCTTGAGTTGGTCCGCCACCGCATGGTACATGCAATGCCCGTCTGACGGAATCTCCTTGACGATCAAACCGAGCGAAGTCAACTGAGCGGCGATCGCATCGCTCTCGATCTGGCGCTGGCTCACGACGTTTTGAGACTCAAACTCAATGCGCTCCAGCCTCTCGCGTTCTTCTTGGCGCTTCTTATCCTACTCGCGTCAAAGTGGTTGGAAGACTTGAAGAGATTTCCTTACTCGTTTCCGCTGCGCCTTTTCCAGCTTTGCGTTCGCCTTCTCGCCAACATCCGCCACTGCGGCGGCAGTGGCAGGCGCAGCTTCTGCATCGTCGTCCGACACATCCAACTTTTGCATCTACGCTTGACATGAGAGAACTGCATACAATGCACCGAGTTCGTACTATAGCTTGCACTTCGCTGGCATGACGAGCTGCCACGGACTGCTCCAGCTCGGCGACTTTCTGGTCAATCTCCTTCTTGCTGAGGTTGTCCTTTTTCAGCTTCTTGACCAGGATTTTGGATTGGTTTTGCAGATCCTATCGAGCATAACGAGGTGCTTGCACTGTACGTGGACGGACGTACCCTCAGTTCCAGTTTGTGCCGCTGCTTCATTTGGCCCGCCGACTCCATGATCACCAGACGAAGGAACACTTGTTTCAATGGAATGTGGCGACGTATTATAAAAAAACCTCCATCATTGCAATATACTTCCAAAGAAATACAACAATTTTCATCTCAACCTTTGCATGTGTCATGGAAAATAATACAAATAAAGCAGTATTAAAAATATCAACACAAGGTTTTGACCAACGATAAACTGTAAACATCTCACACTATATTAAAATACTACCGTAAAACAAAGACAACTCTATTTACCGTACCTTTCGATTCAATGTTGGAGTGGTACAGCCAGGAGTACCACTGGAAAATTTGATATTCATTGCCTCTAGACATAAATATCCTTTCAGAAGTAATGCCTCTCTACAATACGATAACTGACGAGCAAACTTGAAGCGACTTCCTGCAGATTTTAGCATGCAAACTTGAGCTTGTAAACTGACATTGACACCTCCATTCACTTTCCATTATGCCATGACCGTCCCATCGCAAGCCCTAGAAATGTACTTGTATGATTTCAATTTGAGTTTGATTGCCACGAAGAACTCCCATAACATTATATTCCTCCAACATCACATAGAAATATTAATTTTGAATAGACTAGAAACAGAGTGGTCACAGCCGAGTACCACTCCAACATTGAATCGAAAGGTACGGTAGTGTAGAAAGCAGCATCAAAACCATGTGATTGCCCTGTGATTAGCACAAACAAATACGAAAAAACTCTGTGATTAGCCAGAACCTCAACGCCCTGTGATTGGCCCAAACAAATCGAAAAAAACTCTGTGATTGGCCAGAATCTCAACGCCCTTTGATTGGTCCAAACAAATCCGACAAAACTCTGTGATTGGCCAGAACCTCAACGCCCTGTGATTGGCCCAAACAAATCCGACAAAACTAGTGTCGCATACACAAACGCCGTCGAGCGTGGCTTTGTTCTGACGTGAAAATAGTTCAATTTCGTATTTTTTTTCCAGTAGCTCTGAAACCAAATGAATAATATGAATTAAAACTAAGTTTTTTTACGGATTACCACCAACGATCGGCGAACTCCATGACGCCTCGCCGTCAATCTGTGCAAGACCGAACGCTTCGACTGGACCTGCAGAAAGCGCTGGGCGAAGGTGACGTTGAAGAAATTCCCCTGTCTCGTCGGATCTTCGAGTACCTGGATCAGAGTAACGACGGCATCGTACGACCAAAGGCGCTACTGGATCATTTTAACAAGTGTGGGTTGCGCACCGATGATCCACGTATTTCAACGCTGTGCGACACGCTCCAAGACAACCCTTCGCTGGACATCACCATTGACGTGTTCGAAGAGCTGACCAAGGACTCATGCGGGATCATCGAGAAAGGCTTCAGCGGTCAATTGTGCATTCCGACGTTTGACGACTTTCGCGCCAACGTTGATCGGCTGATCGACGAAACATGCCGCCATGCTGGTGTGGATAGCAAGCACAACGTCACAAGTGCCAATGCGTTCGTGGTGTCCATGTGCACGGTCGATGGCCAACGCCACGTCACCGGCAATCAATCCGAACTCGAAGTCGAGGTAATCGACCACCAGTACCTTCTTTCACGATCGCATAATGGGGGTCATGTGTGTCTGTAGATATGCATGGAAGGGTGCTGCAAGCCCATCTTGTACGGGATGGCAATGGAGACGAATCCTGGCATCGACAACTACATTTCCCACGAGCCCAGCGGGTTGGACTCGCATGCCATGAGTTTGGTACTACCCCCCTCCAATGAAACCTGGAATCTAAAGCTCACATTTCATCGTAGCAACTCAAGGACAACAAGAGACGGCCGCACAACCCTCTCATGAACACGGGGGCATTGCTGTCCTGTGCCTTGTTGGGCCAGCCTGGGCAATCGGTGGACGAACGCTATCGCTTGTACGAGTCGCGACTGCACAATTTGTTTTCCCGAACGTCCAAGAAGCAACAAGATGATGGGCATCTTCCCACACCACTCACGACCCCCGTGTCGGTGGAAGAATCCAAATACGCCAGTCGCAATACTTCGCTGTCGTACATGCTGGACGACGCCAAGTGTTTCCCACCGCACACTGACGTGGCCGACGTGGTGCAGCTCTTCTTCCGAGCGTGCGCCGCGACCTGCAGTGTGGACGAGCTGTCGCTGTTCGCGGCTACCTTGGCCAACGGCGGCCTCCACCCCATCACGAACGAGCGCATCATGCAGCCGCAGTCGGTGCGGCAGTGTCTGTCGGTGATGTTTTCGTGCGGGCTGGGTACGTACAGCGGCGAGTGGTCGTTCCACGTGGGCATCCCCGCGCTGAGCTCTCTTGGCGGCGCCATGCTCGTGGTCGTGCCGGGGCTGATGGGGTTTTGCTCGTACTCACCGACGCTGGACCGGTCCAACAACAGCATCCACGGAGTGACTTTTTTCAAAGCGCTGTCCCGGACGTTCACCTTTCACAACTTTGATTCGCTGCCCATGATCAACTTTCAACGAAAAGACCCCCGGCGCGACTCACGGTACATGGATGGTTGTTGGTGATTCGGGGCTAAGTGACTGACTTCGTAGAACGATTCAAGTGGAGATGACGACCAAACTATTGATCGCCGCGGCCGAGGGCGATGTGTGTGAAGTGCGAAGATTGAGATCGCGGGGAGCAAATCTGGACGCCATCGACTACGATTCCCGCACGGCGCTCCATCTAGCTGCCTCGGAAGGCAAGATCAAAGTCGTGAATTACTTGGTCAAGCATCATGTGTTGCTGTCGCCTGTGGATCGGTGGGGAGGTACATAATTGTCTCACAAATACTCGAGTATAATGACTTATAATGCAGGCACACCCATGTCGGATGCGATTACGTTTGGTCACTTGCACGTGGCGCAACTGCTCACGAAAGCGGGTGTGATCAGCAACTCGATCAAGCACAAAACGTCGTCTCAGCCGACGAAGCAGCCCCCTGTGCTGCTGCAGGACCTGTCAGTGTTCTATGCAGCCTATTCGGGGGACCTACAGAGCTTGAAGGCGTCGTACACTAGTGGAGTGAACTTTAGCTCACTTCGAGATTACGACGGACGAACGCCGTTGCATGTGGCGTGTGCCGAAGGTCGCTTCGACGTAGTCAAGTTCTTAATCACCACGGCCGGCGTTCCCATCCTAGTGAAGGACCGCAACCAGAAAACCCCCATCTCGGAAGCCAAACGGGGTGGCCACGCCGCCGTCCTTGAGTTCATTCGAAAGCAGCTGCAGGTATGCATGTATGTTTGTGTCAACCAAATGTCTTAAGTTGATGTTTGTATTGTGCTTTCGAGTGAAATTTCGTGTTGTGGCATCTCGTTGGAATTTAAATCGATTTGATTGGCTACCTCAGATGAGCTCAAAATTATTAGCCAATCAAAACCTTCTCTATGAAATACAACAACCAATCAGATCGATTGTGGATCGGTTTGGTCGGCGCGATTCGATTGCCCTCCCCAAATTAGTATCAAATCGACAATATAGATGTACCTTTCTTTCTCATACTTCAATGAAGTTGATGTTTGCATTGGTGTGTTTCTCTACAATCTGCAGCATTCTACTACTACGTTGCGTGTGTATTTCGATTTTGAAAGCAGAATACTCGATGTACAAGTGGATATTGTTGTTTGGCAACTAGACGCCAGCCACCGTGAGCAAGCGGCATTTTCCAGTGCTAACTGTGCCGCAAACCCCGCGACGCCACATCGACGACGACGACAGCGACGACAGCGACGACGACTTGGAAGACTACGAAGTATCGAGTCACTCGGCGTTTCAGTTCCTGTCAATGGCCACGGACAACGAACCGTGCGACGAAGCCAAGGTGAACGTGTCGACGTTAATCACCACGTTGCGGGAGAACGGCCTGCTCGAGACTGACCCCCGCCTCAAGAAGCTGGTGGAAAGCGTCAAGTTTTTGGGTGCGGACGCCACCTTGTCGGTGGAGCAATATCGGTATTTGACTGAAAGTGGCGCGATTTTACTCGAGCGGGCCCTGGCCAAGTCGCTGATCATTCCCGAATTCAACGACTTTTGCGACGAGGTGTGGTGGTTGCTCTTGTCACCCATGATGATGTTAATATCTCACACGACGTGGGTTCTTCGTAGCTGATTGACATTTTCGAAGCCGCTAAGCTCAACAGAGGCGGGCACATTGCCACGTACATTCCGCAACTGGCAAATGTCGACCCGGAAAAGTTTGGCATGGCACTGTGTACTATCGACGGCCAACGGTATTGTCCTTTTACCCAACATTTGGGCTTTTGTGCTGATTCACCAAATCTATCGATCAGTTCTTTGAACTGAATTTTGTATACATAAAGTGGTGCTTGTAATAACACTAATTGAAGTCACACATTAATTTGGCGATGATGATGGTTTCCTGCAATCTGATTGGCTCAATTCTTCTGCCGATGATTCTTCTGTGCCTTTAATTTGGTTGTGTCGATTCATTCACCATGTCGCTCCAGTTTAGAATAAACACATCAATATCGCATTATAAAGCACACATGACAGACAACAACCCAACCCCCGTTTTATATGTTTGTAGGTTTAGCTTGGGGGATTCCAAAGATCACTTTTGCGTGCAGTCGTGCAGCAAGGCGATCAGTTACTGCTTGGCCGTGGAGGAATTGGGCGCGGACAAGGTGCACTTCCACATGGGGTGCGAGCCCAGCGGCCTTCGCTTCAACGACCTGAGTCTGCTGGACCGGGGAGGCTACCGCATACCGCACAACCCGATGATCAACTCGGGCGCGATCATGTCGTCATCGCTGATTCGGAAGGACCTGCCGCTGCACCAGCGCTTTGAGTACATCATGCAGACGTGGAAGGCGCTGTGCGGGGACTCGGCCGTGGGGTTCGACAACTCTGTGTGCCTGTCGGAGCGGTCGTCCGCCGACCGGAACTGGTGTCTGGGCTTCATGATGCGCGAGGCCGAGTGCCTTCCGGACGATACCAACCTCGCGGAAGCCTTGGAGTTTTACTTTGAGCAGTGCTCCCTCACGACCTCTTGCGAGTCGTTTTCGGTGCTGGCAGCGTCGTTGGCCTCTGGCGGGGTGTGCCCCCTGACCAACCACCGCGTGTTCGAAGCCGAGACGGTCAAGAACTGCCTGTCGCTCATGTTTTCCTGCGGCATGTACGATGCCAGCGGCACGTGGGGGTACTCGGTGGGCATCCCGGCCAAGTCGGGCGTGTCGGGGGTGCTGCTGCTCGTGATTCCTAACGTCATGGGGCTCGCGGTGTGGTCCCCCCGACTGGACGAGATCGGCAACAGCGTCCGCGGGGTCCAGTTTTGCCAGGAGCTGGTCACTCGGTTCCCATTCCACAACTTTGACGCGTTTGTCGAGCACATGAAGCAGCCGTCGCCCGTGCATCGGACGGCGACAGATGCCAAGACCGCCGTGGACCCAAAGGTGCGGCGAAAGCTGGCGTACCAGCTGCTCTACGCCGCGTACGAAGGCAACGTCGAGGAGATCCGCCGACTCAAGCTCCATGGCGCCAGCGTACGGTCGTCCTCACTCTGGACTCGATTTGATGAAAACGAACAACCTTGTAGGTGCACTCCTGCGACTACGACGGGAGAACGGCCATGCACATTGCGGCGTCGATGGGGCATGTGGCGGTGGTCCAGGAACTGCTTCGGCAAGGAGCGGACATTCGTGCACTGGACCGATGGGGCGGTACGCCGCTGTCCGATGCCGAAAGGTACGCGCCATCCAATGCGTGCGACGTCATGAAGCTCCTGCAGCAAGCCATGACAGTGTATCCATAAACGAACCTTGACAGAGCTAGTTGAATGTGGTCAGTGACTAGTGTACGTACACCTAAGGAGTTTACTCCTAGTGACTACACACGAAGACAAATACTAAACAAGAACAGTGTGAGTTCAAGCATGTTGTACTGTAGGCCATACGGTAGTATGGGCGTTCTTAAGGTCATCATAACTACATACACCCTACAGCTGAAATAAAAGCATGGCGCCGAAGATCGCTATGACGACAACTGCACCCGTAACTGTGGAAACGTTGTCCAGGATCATCACGCCGAGTTCCCTCTTCACGTCCGATGACGTCGCCGTCGTGTCAGCTGGCTGATCGCCGCGTTCAAGCTTTGTCCGCTCCAGTTCGTCGTGCAGCGCCACGAGGTCTGGAAAGCATGTGACGAAGGTCGCATTGCGGCAGTTCTCGTCCAGACTCAACGCCGCCAGCTTCCGCTTTTCGGCGTCGGGGGTGACGATGCTTCCCAGAGTGGGTGTGTTCTCATTCATGAACGAGAACAATCCCGCCAGAATGCTGCTCACGGACCACATGGGATTCCACGTTTCTGGGTGATAGTCCGACATGCTCAAGCACAGACGTTTGTTGACTTGGAACCTGCCGTTGGTCGTTAACATGTACACGGCAGGAGGTTTCATGGGATATTCGGCAGGAAACTTGAGCTTCCCGTGGTAATACCCCCCTTCGTACACTCCGATGCCGCGGATCACGTAATGCCATTCCAAGATGTTGCTCTCCAGAGGAATCGCCTCAATGTTCGCTTCGGGGTTCTTTCGCAGTGCCATGTATTCCTTGCGAAGTCTCTTTGTTGCCATGGATGAAGCCATGTTCGTGTCAGTGCGAGATGGGGCGACGGCACTCCAAGTCTTCCGTGGGTCGTTCGACTGCTCCGTCGGCAGCGAGTTCAAAATGCCTCTCTGTTGTTCATAATAATTTATACGTCGAGAATCGACGCTATTGGCTAATCCAATGAGAGAGTGGCTTTTATTGGCTATTATGGAATGACCAATTAGAAGTTCCAACGTGATGAAATAACACGCAAATTAACAATATTTGTCAGCCTATTGCCCCTGAATATATTATCAATTCCCAATGTATGTACCGGTATCCATTGCTTTTTCACTCCATTCGGCACCATCATGAAGCAGCTACTAGATGACTATAGAAACAATATCAAGTAACACACCTAAGTTCTGACATTTCAGGACAACGGAAATGGCGTGGAAGGATGCGCTCCAAGTTCACATCTTCAATACAGTACTAGTACTACATAGTATTATTAACAGGCGAAAATATATTCGTGTTACTTCGACATATAGTCGTACTTTCGATCGAAGTTTGTCGAAGTCTTGCGTTTGGTTGGCTCGCTCGAATAGGCGCGACATGGCACTGGTTGACTTCCTTCGATAGTGTGAACGAACAGCGATGGCCAATCTCAAAGGAGGTGCGAGCAAAGGAGGTCAAAAGAAGAAACCGGGTGACTTCAAGCGCCCGAAGCGAAAGGTGGGCCGCAAGGTCGTCCAGTCCAATGTGACCAATGCGTCCATTCAGTCTCGACGCATCAACATGACCGAACAGAGCATGTTGCAAGACAAATCTGGCGCGGCGGTCACACATCGAAACCAAACGCTGCAAGACATTCTGTCCAAGGCTTCACACTACAACGCCCACGTGCGCCGCGACGCCATGTCCAGCCTTAAAGAGCTGATTCGACTACATCCGATGACGCTGGTGGCCAACATTGGACTTGTGCTCGAACGACTGCTGCAAGTCATGGTGGACGACGAAGCCATCGTGCGCGAGGCTTGCGTTGCGACGTGGAAAGACTGCTTTGCGAGCCTCGCATCGTCCCATTCCGAGCAAGTCGTCGTGCCCTTCGCGCAACTCATTCTCGTCTACTTCTGCAGCGGATTGACGCACCTCAAGCCAAGCGTACGAGAGGACGTCCTACGACACATCAACGCGGTGCTGGACATTCCGGCCTTCGCGTTGCTGCTGGCCGGTGCGCTGAGCCCGGAACAATGCGGCCGACTGCTGGAGAACTTCAAGGACAGCATCTCGACCAAGGCCAGCACCGTCCACGTCAAGAACTCGTACAGCTTGTTTGCGGAAAAAGCCAAGGTCAAGCAAAGCCAACTGCAGTCGAGTGTGTTGAAAGCTCGGTTCTTTGCCGTTGAAGTGGTCCATAAACTACTCCAGGCGTTGGACAAGGTCACAACCATTGCGGCCACCGGCGTGCACAAAGACGAGCTGAACTTGGCCAGCAACACATCGTTGCTACTCGTCTCTCGCTCGCAAGTAGTGGGGTGGAGTTCCCACCGAGAACCGGTCAAAGGCACTTCAGAGCAAGACCAGTCGTGGCCTGCGAAGGCGCTAGCATTGCTTCCACCACTACTTGGCTTGTGGATGGAATGTCATGGTGATGACAATACTGCGCTGCCGCCGACTGTGCTCACGCACTTAATTTTGATCGTGGAAGCGTCCACCATCATCATCCGTGCGTCAACTCTGCAGGCCGACGACCCAGCACTCAAAGTGTACGCGCAGACGTACTTCACCGACTTTCCACGAGCACCTATGGAAATCATGAGCAACGCCGACAGCTCCACGCTGCACTTCTGGAGTGCCCTCAATTTATCCATCGCTCAGTGCGGGTGTGAGTGCTTTGTCGGATCGAACGCCGCCGACTTGGACGACGTGCTCACGCAGTTTGTCCAGTCCGAGTTCGACAACCTCGTGCAGTCCGATTCGTCTGTCCGGCAAGTGGCGCAGGGGCCGACGTTGCTCAAGGGAAGGCTCCAGTTGCTTACGTCGTTGCTGGAGCGAGGCGACCACCCGGAGTTGCTCGAAGCGTTCACGACACTGTACATGTCGAGCGTTCCTAACTCAGGGACATTTCGAGCGTGTTCTGCCTTTGCCCTGCAACATTTAACCAATGTATTCACAACCAAGTCGCGAGCAAAGGTATACTATTGTTTCAAGTGGCATCCTATATTATATAACTGTTTTGGAATTATTTACAGGTAGCGTCCCTGTCGTGGTCTGTCGTTTCCAAGTGGATGGGGCGATTTGGGTTGTACATGCTTGCGATCGTGGACTCGACCCAGCAAGACACGTTCAAAGCCATCTTTCGCGTGTCCATTGGCGTACTCACCCGACTGCCGCCGGCAGAACTCGAGTCGGAACACATGGCGTCGTGGTTGACTTCCGTGGTGGCCTTCTTCACCTCGACCACCAATCCGGTCTGGTTCGGACAGCTGCCGTGGTCCACCCAACTCGAAGCCGTGGCGCTGCTGCACCATCTGCCAACGTACCCGCCGGCGTTTCTGCGGACGTTGGCGGCCTGCTGCAAGGCCGACATTGTTTCTGTGGACGCCAAGAGCTTCGTCCTGGATATCGTGTCGGACCAGCTACACAAGCTCGATCGGGGGGCGCTGCTCAGTTTCTACATGAGCACGCTGTTCGCCCAGGGAAACGAACTTTTGTGTCCGCAAGTGTGTCGACTGTTGAGCGGGCTCAACTTTGGCTCGTCGCTGTCGTCCATTTTGGCTCCTACGTTGGCCAAGCAGTCGGTGGAAGACAATGCCGTGGCACTTGTGATGGCCTTCGTGGTGTGCTTGAAGTCGAATGCGAAAGGTAGCGGAGGGGAAAAGCAACGGACACCGGACGTGCTCAAGACCCACTTGGTGGCATCGTTTGTCAAGGTTCTGGTCACTCCTCAGCTGGAAGCAGCCTATTCGACGCTCGTGTACGAAGGCATGCGGTATTGCAACGGCGTGTTCTTGGACGTCGCGACCCAGCTGGTCACTGAGACGAACCTGGCGGGGCTGCTGCAGTTGCTGCGAGAGTCCAGCCTTCGCAAGGTGGTCGCTTCGTATCATGCAGAGCTCGTGGACGTGATTGCAGGCATTCCCACGACGCACGCAGACGACAAGCGGCTGTTGGTCAATGAACTCAAGCTTGTCGTAGTTAATGCGTAACTTTTGTTTTCCTTTTGTTTATTGCAATTTACTCCAAGCCTGGTGCACTTTAACTCACCACTAGTATTCGATTCTAGTATCAAGATCGAACGGGTGTGTGCCGGGACAAGTTTCGCGGCAACTTCCGTATGCGCAGCAACATTTGCACGTTGGGATAAAACCAGGTTGGACTTCACGTGCACAAAGCTGCCTTGACCGAGAACCGTGCTGAGCATTTCGCTCTTGTAGTACAGGGCCCGTGCCATGGAGGACAAAGTACCGGCGTTTCCAGCTCTTGACCTTGTTGCCGTCGCCGACCTCCGCGCCATCATGCTACCCCTCGACGCGATTGTGGCCGAGTTACCGTCGCTTTGGTTGAAGAGCATTTGCCAGTGAAGTTGCGACGATGTTGCCCTAGCGATTATCACTTGCGTCAGTCATGTCGACTGTAGCCACGAGCCATTCTCCCCGAAGTGGAGTCCGTTTGCGGCCGATATGCAAGCCGGCAAGGTCGCCGTTACCGACGGTAGCGGTCCAACTCGATGGTCTTCAAGTTCCCAACGCTTGGCGTCGCATCTCTACCTTCAGTGCCTTCCGTAGAGGCCGGTCGAGCGGCTGGGAATGCGAGCGCGAAGACTCCTAACCCAGGTACCCCAACCCCAGGCAGGCATCAGCATCAACCACAAGCCTGTGATGTCGGGAGGTGTCAGACGAAATGCATCGAGCAGCAACCGCTCACGATCATGTGCACGGTCTGGATCGACGGCGTCGTGAACATCAAGACATCCAGGTGACGGACAAGGCGCCGTCACCGTGGGTCGGCGAAGGCACCAGGTGTGGGGCCGCCTATGTTGTTAAAGCTCCAAGAGTTTTTGGACATCAAGGTCGAGATGCGTCACTTGACGCTCGGTCAAGCTGAATTGGACGTCCCCGAGAACAAGCAGTCCTCGCCGCAGCCCGAGCGCGCCATCAGCCGTCTTCACGACTCGATTGCGCCATGTAGTGACGAAGTCGTCGTCGACAACGGCTTGCCGTACTGATTGGGGAATAGCATGTTCATACCACACAACAACTCATACATGTACCTCGACACATTTTTTGACTCTACCGTAGTGCATGAAGTCACAGAAAATTCGTTTTAACGTTATTTGATATTTGTATGCTACTGAGTTTCCACGGAATGATGATGGTGAGAAGTCCAGGGTTCTGAACTCACCAAGGGAGTTCGTACACCCTAACTGTAAATTGACACTTGGGAGTATCATTAGAACTGAAATCAGTAGCAGTTTCAGGAGCACCACCAATTGGTTCGTACACACTAAATTGGCCATTTAAGTTAAAATTAAGTCATATGATTGGATGGCTGGAAGTCATTCTGCGCGTGGGAGTTCAAAACTGTAGCCAGACCGTGTCGGTGCACTGTTCAACACACAATACGGATTTGCGATTTCGAACAAATTCAAGCATATATTTGCCAAATTTTTAACATATGTGTAAGTTGAAAGTAAAACAGTCTCTGACGGTGTGAGTGCCATAGAGCATATTCTCCACCACGTATGAGGGTGTGTGACATTCGATCGACCGCTAGTGTGACTGATCACGTGGAGTATATAGCATTTCTGGCATATGAAACATCTTGTTTCTACTATGCTGAAGCTTTTGCCCATTATGGTCATGCGGAGGTTTATCACTCACAACCCAATATGACATACTACTAATAGTACATAGTACGTAGTAATACTAAGTATACACGATTTACGAAACAAACACGAAACAAAATACACCAGACTACTAGCAATCACGAAACGTTTTTGTTTCGTAAATCACTTGTATCTAATTCCTGCTATCTTGAAATTTGTATCCGATTGCTTGTATCTTAGATATATGGTGATTTACGAAACAATCACGAAACATGCATACTATTAGTAGTACTACGTAATTTACTGTGGACAGATATCAACACGCCCCACCATAGGCAACCACAGCACAGACGCTGCTACACGTACAGTACCTCCTCCACCAGCATAGAAGTGGTGGTACAACCAGCATAACAGCGGCGGTACGTTGGTTTTCGTTCATGGAAATATTCGACTAGCACTTCAAGATGGGCCAAGTAGTCCCGAATCGCGTGGTCGGGCTCGCCAACTTGACGTTGGCGCCGTCCTCGCTGACCAAAGCGGTGCAGCGCCCGGCAGATCTGGTGCTGCGCAAGTCCGCGACGCGAGGAATTGTGCGGGAACTCCTGCCAGGACAGACGGTCGTCCTTGACACTGCGCGGACCTTCGAGACCCAGCAACATGACTGTATGCTGGACCCGATGCTGTGTATCCCGGCGGACTCCTCACACTCCGTACAATAACTAGTTACTGGAAAGTCAACGTGATGCACATGTTAGACGAACTGTTTTGATCTCGCGTTCGTTTAGTTAGACAATAGTACATAGTAGTATTAAGTAGTAGTTAGTTGTAGCACATACTA